AATTCCAAAATTTGATGGAGTGGGTTATGACAAAGACTTGGTTGAAGCTCTTGAAAGAGACATTGTATCAAGGAATCCAAGCATTCATTGGTATGGATTTTCTCAATTCAGGTGTTTTTGCTAGTGTGGAGAAGGAGAGAAATTATCCTTCTTCTAACTCTTAAAACAGGGAGCCATTATAATCTTCTCAGATAGGCAAAACAAGGTCTTTGGTTTTAACAGTTTATTAATTTGATTACAGTTAAGCTTTTGTTGCCAACTGGTGCTATATGCGGTACATCCATTACAGACACTGCTGAAATGAAAGTACACTCCAGAGAACTTTAAAGGTACCGCTTTGGTGTTCATGTTGTCTAAAACAATTTTTAATTAAGCAGCTCTGGGTAACTTGAGTTGAAAATAATTTTTTCCCTACCTTCCAAAAGTGGATTCAGTTTTAGGTCACAGGATTATAAGAGTGCTCTCATGAGGCATATACTGGCATGCTAAAAGAAATGGTACTAAGTGAAAAGCTTTTCTATTTTTCTTGTATAAAAATAGAAGAAGGATTGTTGTACAGGAATCTTACACAAGTTTCTTCATCTTGCACAGGGATGACATAGCAGATTTGGAAGAAGCCAAGAAATTATTAAGAGAAGCTGTTGTTCTTCCAATGTGGATGCCTGATTATTTCACAGGGATCAGAAGACCTTGGAAGGTGAGAATTTATTTGTTGTTTTAGTAAATTGCAAGCTGTAGTTATGTGTGTCTGCTGCTGTAATGTGGGTGGATGTCTGTAGCAGAAGGCTAAAAAGACAAATGAGAAAGATCAGGAATTTGTTAATGAAATCCTCTTGTAAAATGCACTAAAGGAACAGCTGTAAGTATATGCAGGCTTTACAGTAAATAATAATTCTTTTGTATTTCCCCAGTCATAGCTTGTTGACGTTATAATGCTTTCTGTATGTCAGCCAGTACATGTGAGCAAGCATATAGGGTATATTGACAGAAGCAGAAATGCTTAATAGACAGCTCTGCTTAGATTATGGTGGCCTCTCTTCAACACCTCACAGAGGAAAGCCGTACTTGGACTGTTTTATTCTGCATGTGCCAACTGTCTCTCACTCAGACTGTGAACTGCAGGCTGGATGGTGGAAGGAGGCAAGGAGAGAGGGGGCTAATCTGAGTGATGATTTAGCTTTGCAGTTACGCTTACAGGTGGGCATAGTTGCTGCTAGAGTGGGAGAAATTTGAAGTGGGAGAATGAGCTTCAAGTAGAGCAACAGGAAGGGTATAGGACTGAGCTGGCCTGGCTGATGGACCAGAGGTGAGCCCAATCTGAGCCTTGCATAGAGCTAAAAAGGAAGAGGGGGGAGGGCGTTGCTGAGCATTTCCGTAACCAGAAAAGAAAATTATCTTGCTTTTGTTGTGGGATGGATTGACACTTGTTTTGGGAATAACTAGTCACAACACAAGGGCTTTCTGGTTACTCAGAATGATTACTGGGGAAAAGAGACTGTTGCAAATTGTCTGTTATTCTGAGGCTGCAAAGCAATGGCACGTGTAAATGCTGCGTACGTGAGTAGTTTCTGTGGTTCAGTACGCTGGTTCAGTAGCATATGTCAGGTCTTGTGTTACTAACACTTGCCCTGTCTTTTCCTGCTTGGTCCTTGTGCTCCTCTGGCTTATGCTTAGGTCTGACCCTCAAAGCTGTCCTCCTCCAGCCTGAGCCAGTCCTAGATCCCTGTTATTCTGTTTATTTATGAAACAAAGCCCTGGGGGAACTAAGGAGTGTAAGGCTTGTCATTCTTGGGGCTTGTGTTTACAGCCAGTAAAGAGGGGAAGCTGGGAAG